TGAATCTATTATCTGTCCATTAGTTAGTCAGAGATTTTTACTGTGCGGTTGTGTTCTTATCGGATTCGTGTTATTTGTAGGACCTGAGTACTAGGAGGATTATTATTAGGAGACATGAGAGAGACAGACTGTATTATTTAGGCCCATCCGCCTCCAGTTTCACTAGTTCTTCCACCTACATGACCTGCACCTACTTTGTCTTTATCTGTTCCTAGCTTGCATGCTAGTATTTTACCTAGTAATTGTTATGATTTTTCATCCCAAACTGTTCAATTGTGGCATGACTGTTTTGGACATACAAATTTTAAATATTTATGTATGTTGTTTCCTATTTTAAGTAATGCTTGTGTTGGTGGTAAACTTAACTGTGTTATATGTTCCCTATCGAAACATGTTAGGACTAGTTATAATCCTCGCATGCACTAGTAACCCAAGCTATTTGACCTAATACACTCTGATATTTGGGGACCCTTTCTTGTTACTGCTCTGTCAGGTGTTCGATACTATGTGACATTTATAGATGACCATACTCGTTGTACTTGGGTCTACCTTTTGCATAGGAAGTCCGATGTACTCTCTATAATCACTCAGTTTCTACAGATGATTAAGACAATTTGATGTCATTGTTCGTGCTCTTCGTTCGGATAATGCCAAAGAATATGTGGCTGATGCCTTAGTGTCTCACCTTTCTTCTCAGGGTATTCTTCAGCAACTGTCCATATACTTTTGAGCAAAATGGCGTTGCTGAAAGGAAAAATATGAGTTTGATAGGGATGGTATGTTGTATGCTTAAAGCCATGGGGGTTCCAAAATCTTATTGATATTTTACTGTTTTGACTTCTACCTTTCTCTATAATCGTACATCGAGTCGTGTTCATCAGCATAGGGCTCTTTTACAAGTCTTATTCCTTGAGCGGACACTTTTTTCGGTCCCCCCTTGTGTTTTTGGCTGCACATATTTTATTTAGGGTTCGTCTCCTACTCGCCATAAGTATAATGATAAAGCGATTCGTTGTGTCTTTGTGGGCTGTTGTCATCAGTCTAAGGGATATCGGTGTTATGATCCTCTTAGGCGTCGTATGTATCATAGTCTAGATGTTATCTTTCTTGAGCACATTTCTTATTTTTCTTCCACTCCTGTGTTTGTCCTTCTAGTTGATGATACTCTCTTTGATTTTCTGTTACCACAGGAGCCAGAGCCATTGATCACTATCACTACAGAGTCATCAGTCTCTCCTCCACCACAACCACTCGTCCCTGTCAATTTAGAGTCACCAGTCTCTCTTCCTTTACAGGTTTATAGTTTTCGCCCTCGCTCTCATCCCCCTGTTGATGTCTCCTCTACCTCAGACGATGCAGATAATACTTCTTAGTTTGTTGAGCATATTGATGTACTTATTGTTAATACTGATGAGATTACAGGTACTGAGCCAGTTGTTTTACCTGATGAGACATTGTCAGTGGAGAATGATGATTTAGGACATCGTTATCCGCGGCGTGATCGTCGTTTAGTTGTTTGTTATGATTGGACTGCCAGGATTTTATACGCGATCTCTGCCTATGTTTCTTATGGTGATTTCTCTCCTACATTTTGGGCTTATAGTATGGCCTTATCAGATACGCCGGTTCCTTGCTCTGTTGCAGAGACTATGTAGGAGCCCTAGTGGATTCTTGTCATGCAAACAGAGATGGATACTCTTCAGCGTAATCATACGTGGGATTTTATTTTTTTACCTTCAGGGATGAAGCTTATTGGCTGTCGTTGGGTTTACACCCTAAAGTTTCTTGCAGATAGTACTGTTGATCATCACAAGGCTAGGCTTGTGGCGAAGGGTTTTACTCAGGTACTAGGTCGTGATTTTGGTGCTATCTTTGCCTCCGTAACAAAATTGACTATTGTTTGACTGATTATTTCTCTGGCTGCGAAGTACTCTTGACCTCTTCATCAGTTGGATATGAAGAATATATTTCTTCATGGTGATCTAGACGAGATTATTTATATGGATGCACCACCGGGCTTTCGTGGTCAGGAGTATGTTGGAAATGTGTGTCGACTGTATAAGTCTCTTTATGGACTGAAATAGTCACCACGAGCATGATTTTCTTGATTTAATGGTGTAGTTGTATGTTTAGAGTTCACCAGATGTCATTCTAATCATATATGTTTTATTCGACGGAATACTTTTGGGCAGTGTGTCATCCTTTTGGTATATGTGGATGATATTATTATTATTGAGGATAATATTTTTAGGATTGCACAGGTCAAGGTAGACCTTGGGAAAGCCTTTGATGTAAAGTACCTTATATTTCTACGATACTTTTTTGGGATTGAGATTGCTCGTAGCAACAGGGGTATTATTCTTTCTTAGTGGAAGTATGTTCTGGACCTTCTCTCGGACACTGGGATGTTGGTGTGCAAACTGGCATCATCATCCGTGATTCCAAACCTAAAGCTTACTGTCGAAGGTGAGGAGTTGAGTGATCCGACTATTTATCAGAGGTTGGTAGGTGCACTTATCTATCTAGCTAACACTAGGCCAGATATTTCATTCGCTGTCAGCCGAGTTAGTTAGTTCATACACAGGTCATGTCAGCCTCATCTTGATGCAGTTTATTATATTCTTCGATACCTCAAGTCTTATTCTGGACTTGGGTTGTTCTATGCATCAAGATCTCAAACTGGTTCTCTAGTCTGTTATTTAGATTCAAATTATGGGGGAGCGTGTGACGGTCGATCTACTACGAGTTTCTGTGCTTTTTGAGGGGCTTATCTTATCTCTTGAAAGAGCAAGAAACAAACAATTGTCTTCTGCTCGTCAGCAAAGGCAGAGTATCGGGCACTGGCACTAGTACTAGCACTTGACACATGTGAGATTATCTGGTTACGATCTATTCTTGGTAAGTTGGGATTTCCAGTGATTTTTCCATCCACATTATATTGTGATAATCGATCTGCTATTTAGCTCGCTTCTGACTCTGTACTACACGAGAGGACAAAACATATAGAGATCGATGTTCACTTTCTTCGGGAGAAGGTTAGTTGTGGTATTGTTACTTCATCGTTTATGGGGAACAGTGATCAGGTTACGGATATTTTTACCAAACCTGTAACTCTATTCATTTTTCTGGATTTCATTATCAAGCTTGGCCTAGTTGACATTTTTGTGCCTAGTTCGAGGGGGAGTGTTGGAGTTATAATAGTCTAGTTTATTAGGGCTTTCCTTTTTATCTTCTTTTTACTCTTTTATCCTTATTGTACCTTTATTGTTTGACTATATATACAGGGGATCTACACTTAGTTTGTATCCCATTCACTCACAAATATTTCTAGCAGAATTATTGTTTTTCTTAGGCTTCGTTTGGTAACTTTTTTTTTTAATTTTGTTTTTAGTTTTGGATCAAAAAAAACAACACATATGGTAGTAGTTTTTGTTTTTTTTTTCATCTAAGTTGTTTTGAAACACAAAAAATGAAAACATGTGGGCCGGGGGAGGCAAGCTTTAATGAGATCCAACTTTTGAACTCCATTAGGAGCAAAAAATTGGGTTTTCTTAGCACATATATAAGGAGGTCCTTATGTTAAGTTGTTCACCATCTCCCGTCTTTCTCTTTCTTGAACGTCTATGTCTATGTCCTCAACAATGCCCTCTCCAGAGAACAATGAAGAACTATCCGGCAAACCAACGGTAGCTAATTGAAGCCTAGGAGCCGCAAAGTTTCACCCTTGTTTATTAAATGCTCCTTCTTCAACCTCTATTTTGCAGATCTAGTGTTTATTTTTGCAGATGTAGTATTTATTTTTGTAGATATAGGGTCCTTCATTTTGACTTTGTTTTGTTATTGAGTTTAACATCTATATATGCCTGTGTGTGTGCTTCTACCCATGTGTGTGCGTCTATGGATCCTGTGTGAATGTGTGTGTGCATATCCTTGGTTTGCTATGTTTTGTAGATCCTTGGTTTGCTATTATCTTGGTTCGGTTTGTGTATGTGTATCTATGTTCTGTGTTATTCTATGTGAATGTGTGTGTATGAGCATCTATGTTTTGTAGATGCTTCTTAGTTTGTGCATATGATATTATCTATTGAGATGCTATTAGATTATTGTTTTATTTGAAATGTTACATTAAAAAAATTTCTCTAATTTTGTTGTTAATATAATTGAAACCGGAGTAGTCCAATGGCACATATTTGATCTTGTATTGTGCACTTGTTGTGGTCCAATGGAATGTCATTCCCCATGCCCATTTGGGATGGAGAGGGAAGAAATGAATCACTATTTTCATGCTCATTTGTTGTGATTTTTATCAGATCTTGTATTGTGCACTACTCTTAGTATTTCTACTAATTATTGGGGTTTTGATTAAGTGATAGTGACTTGTTAGGGTATGTATTTGGTAGTATGTTGAACTTATGTGATTCTAGTATTTTGTTTCTTGTATTATTTGATGAGTTGATGAATGTATTTGGATAATGAATTTTAATTTTTTTTACCCGGGAAGTAATATAAAGCTACTAAAATATGACATAATATATTTTCCATTTCAATTTTCATATTTTAGTACAAACAACTTTTTGTTTCAACTTTTTGACACAAAAAAAGACAAACTAATTCTTTTTTTTTTTTGGAAACATAAAAATGAAAACGTTATCAAACGCAACCTTAGTTTTTGTTTTATTTTTTATGGTGCCTTTCTCCATAAAATCTATAACATAACCACAAGAGAGAGGGAGACAACCCCGTTTTAATTATTCATATTGCTATGATTTGTTTCCATGGATCCTTTGAAACTGCATATTCCATTGATAGGTGGGTTTGGCATAATACATAAATTAGGGATAGCTAAATGCTATGCCACGCCAAATACTTTTACTTTATTTATTAATGTCTTTGCTCAGGCTCTTTGTCCTTTTTCCCCTTAACTTACATTTTCATTTTTTGGCTTCTCTTGGAATATCATTTGTAGGATGTATTGCTGTACAACTTTTTTGGCTCATCACCTTTGAGAAATCAGTGGAGAGTTCTATACGAATTCATGAAAAAACAAAATTTGCTTGATTCTACTATTTCCAAGTCCTTTCCAAATTTCAGTAATGCAAAACACAATATCTTGTGTTCTGAACTGAAACAACTATATGTTGCTATCACTCGAACAAGGCAAAGGTTATGGATTTGTGAGAATACAGAGGAACTTTCCAAGCCTATGTTTGACTATTGGAAGAAGAGGTGCCTTGTCCAAGTAAGAAAGCTAGATGATTCACTTGCACAAGCAATGCAAGTTGCAAGCAGTCCAGAAGAGTGGAAGGCTCGGGGAATCAAGGTTGCTTGCTCTTTCCCTATACCACTAGCACTGCTCCTTTACTGCTATTTTTCTTTTTGTATTTTTCTCTTATCGATGGCGTTGCTATGCATCTGAGACATTTCCTACTCTTCTTTGTCACGTATGATTTATGTTAACAAGTGTAACCTTTATGTGTCAATGCAGCTCTATTGGGAAAATAACTATGAGATGGCAACAATGTGCTTTGAAAGAGCAGGAGACACAATGTGGGAAAAAAGGGCCAAGGCTGCTGGTCTTAAGGCAGCTGCTGACCGTATGCGTGTTTCCAATCCTGAGATGTTTCGCACCGTCCTTAGGGAGGCTGCTGAAATTTTTGATTCTATTGGAAGGGCCGAGTCTGCTGCTGAATGTTTTTGTGACTTGGGGGAGTATGAAAGAGCAGGTATGATTTCTTTCCCCTTAAATATGTGATTCAGAAAACTGTTTGACGTGCAAGTTGTCTCGGACTTGGAAATATTTAGCAGTCTAGTGATTATAGTTTCGATAAAAAATAACTTGTAGTTTCATTATACTTTCTATTTGTGCGTTTGTGAATTTAGTTTCACAACTAATTTTGAAAATATCATTCACACAAATAAGTTTATATTTTCCAACTCTGACATTCTGATTAGTCTTATAAGATGATGTTTTCCACCTAAATTGAAACAGTGTTGGAGTAGTGAACATTACTGACTTGCATCTGTGGAAATAGCATTTTTTCTTTCGAATGTAGTGTTTCTGTGTGTGTATGTGCATGTACTGGAGCAGCAAAATACTTATGTGAGAATTGTTTGATAGAAGCAACACTACACTGCTTGTGCATGCCCTAGCTGATTATGTGCATTAGAATTGTCAGAAGTGATTGCACAGTGAGATCATTACTCAGTGGAAAGGTGACAAAGAAGTAATCCTCCAAATCTCTCGGTTCACTCACATACACTCTCCCATGCCGCCCCCCCCCCCCTCCCAAAAAAAAAAAACACATACACACCATTATATATGCAATTTTTTGATATAAGACCATGAATTTAAAGTATTTATGTTGTAGAAACTCGAGATACGGAAGAGTGAATAATATTGATATTTGGGTCTAGTATCCATGAGTCTGACATTGGGGATGGTGATACTCCTAGAATTAAAGCAGGATGGACTAAATGGAGCAATGCATCCGATATATTTTGAGATAGACTTCTACCCTTTAATCTCAAAGGAAAGTCTATGAGACAATCACAAGACCTATTATGATTTTATAGTATAGAATCTTGGGTAACTATAAAATAACATGTACAAAAATTTGAGTGTGATAAATTTGAGAATGTTAAAATGAATGTGTGGCGAAACTAGGAATCATAGAATTAGGAATAACAATATCAGTAAAAAAAGTAAAGACAACACATATAGGAGAAAAATTAAGGGATAATCGACTTGGGTGGTTTTAAAATATTTATAGACAACCTATTATTGCATCAATGATGGAGTGATGTGGTTATTTATGGATGGTAATAGAAGGGGTAGAGGAAGACCAAAATTTAGTTTAAATGAAATAGTAAAAAGGTATATTATAAGAATCATAGAAAGTATGACCCTTAAAAAGTACAATGGCAGAACAACATTCATGTAAACGACTCCAAAAATGTTGGGACTAGGTTTTCTTGGGTTTATAATCTATTGTAGAACAGATTTGTGGGCAGGTCACTTTGTGCAAGTAATGCCTATACCCAATCTATCATTCCCAGACCCCTCGTCAATGGAGATTAAAACTGGGTGCAATCTATTGTAAGATAGGTCTGAGAGTTCTTTTTACCACTTGAAAGATCTGGCAGTAACATGGCATCTAGTTGATAAATCAATATCAACTTTTCTCCTTTTCATGCTGTGGAACTTGAAATTTCAACTTGACTGGCCTTGAAAAATTGTAAACATGATATTCTGATGGTCTGGTTTCGTATAATTTTCCTAGTCTGGACTGGAATTCCATTTGAATTTTGATTTCACATTTGTGTTGGCAAAGATTAACAACCAGATAACAACTTTCTGCAGGAAATATTTATATGGAGAAATGTGGGGTATCCGAGCTGAAGAAAGCCGGTGAATGTTTTTCTCTGGCAGGATGTTATGAGCGTGCAGCTGACGTTTATGCGAAGGGAAATTATTTCCCTGAGTGCTTGTCAGTTTGCACCAAAGGGAAATTTTTTGAATTGGGTTTGCAGTACATCGAATACTGGAAACAACTTTCAACCATGGATGATGGTATGGTCACAAGAAGTAAAGATATGGACAAGATTGGACAAGAGTTTCTACAGATGTGTGCACTTAACTATTGTGAGCTTAAAGATAACAGATCCATGATGAAATTTGTTAGAGCTTTCCACTCGATGGATTTGAGACGCAATTTCTTGAAGTCTTTAGATTGCCTTGATGAGCTATTATTGTTGGAAGAAGAATTGGGAAACTTTGTGGAGGCTGCAGAGATTGCTGAACTGAGAGGAGATCTTCTACTTGAGGCTGATCTTCTAGGAAAGGCAAGACATTTCAAGGAGGCTTCCTTACTCATCCTTTGGTTTGTGTTTTCCAACTCTCTATGGGCACCAAATAGTAGAGGTTGGCCATTGAAGCCGTTCACGCAAAAAGAGGATCTTTTATCAAAAGCCAAGTTATTTGCAAGGAATGAATTGGATCCCTTCTACGAGTTTGTCTGCACTGAGGTTAAAATTTTGTCACATGAACAGACTAACTTGTTTGAGTTGAAGCAATATTTCAATGCTTCCCAGCAACATAACAGTCTCAGAGGTGAAATATTATGTGTTTGGAAAATTCTGGATGCCCATCTTGACTTGAACACCTCCAAGTATGACTGGGAAGATGAATTGTCAGTGGATCTGAGAAAGCACTCAGAGGATAAGATTTCACAGAATCGGGTTTCTCTTGAAACACTAGTTTATTTTTGGCGTCTATGGAAAGAAAAAATTGTGAATATCTTTGATTGCCTTGCGGGTATTGAAGCCGAAAATTTTGGCAATTATATTGTTTTTGAGAAGTTCTGTTTGAACTATTTTGGTGTGCGAAGGAAATTTAATAATCAAAACAGCATTTACCACATGCTGAAACCTGATGCTGATTGGGTGAGAACAATTGGTGACAGATCCACAAGGAGGATTGGGAAGTTGGTCAGCGCTGATGCCCGCCATTTTGTTTCTGCCGCTAGGAGTTATTGGCGTTCAGAATTGTTTTCTGTTGGTATCAAGGTGTTGCAAAATCTTGAAGCCCTCCATAAGTTCTCAACTAGGCATTCCTTGTCTATGTTTTGCCAAAGCATGCCTCTCCGTCATATCTTTGAGATTGCAAAATTTCTTCTGGACTCCAAGTTTCTTCATTGCAATAATCATGATATTGGAACATTGCAAAATTTTGTTCAATTATCTACTTACTACTTTGTAGACGTTTTTCCTATAGACTGTCAGAAATCATCGACAGAGAATATGATCTATCTGAGAAGGACTGAGCTGTCCCGGACTTTACTTGAAGAAGTTGTTCATGGAAACATCAAGGGTAAACTGACCTATGGGCAAATTGGGAGGGTGGTTATGATTTGGCTTTGGTCTGGAAAACCCACAGAGGAGCTGTACAAGAAGATTGAGGAAAGGTTCAAAGACAATTCATCTTGGAAAGCATTGGTTAAAAACCTCAGTGAGAACATAATGCCAGAATCTTTGGAGGAGTCACCATCGAGCATTTCTGATGAAGCTTCAAGTGCAATCTCTTTGATTTGCAAGTTCCATAAAGCTTTGGAAGATGCTTATAATGCCAATTGGAGAAAAGAAAATGATTATATATCACCAAGTTGCTTCTTGTATCTTCTTGACCGCCTACTGATCCTAGCATTTAACGTCCAGGGATTCTTTCTCACAACAAAATCTTCAACTGTTGAATGGCTTATTTATCAGCAATGGATGACGAACCCAGCTGGCAGTTCTGCAACTGACTTTCAATCATCTCTGGCAGCTGTGTATGACTTTGTGGTCTCCATAATTCAGCAGTTTCTTTATAATAGACAGGATACAGAGGAATGGATTAAGAAATCTAAAATAAATTTCAAGAACTATTATCCACTGCTGGTGACAAGACTGGTTAGTATTTTGTGTTTAATTTGTGTGAACTCTGGAAGATATTTTGATATACTTCCTCAGTTGCTTGGAAGGGGTAACATTACTTCACAGCTACCAAAGGAACTCTGGCACGTTCTTCAGCGAATGAGGAAGGGCAATGGTGCAAATGTGAATGCAAATGTGCTTGCAGAAGCATTCAAAAGGATTGGAGATCCTCTCGTGATTGTGAGCTTGAGAATAAATTGTGCAAACTTCTTCTGTCCTGATGCCATTTTGGTGGACATGGGGGTAACCCAATGCAGGGAGGACATTATAAGAGTCTTGTTTCCTAGGAACACCAGAGCTCCCCCAGGCCAAACTGCTTCTGCTGAAGCAGATATGTCTAATTCCTGCAAGAAAGGAATTTCTTTGAATGGCAAGGATGGATCGAATGTACTTACTGTGACATCTTCTAACCTTGCTCCCATGGAAAATCAGAACATGAACACAAAAAATGAAAATGATCAAGACATTAAAATTAAATGGGGCATATTTCGGGAAATATCTGATGCTGTAGAGTTGGTTGAAAGTAGAAAAGATGGAAATTTGATGAAATTTGTGTCCAATGCTTCCAAGATGAAGGTAATGCCAAGTAGGTTATTATTATGTATGGCGCCACTATAAATTATATTGCCGGATAGCTGTTGCCTAATAAATTATTGTTTTTCTATATTTTCAGGAGCAAGTGGAGGGAATTCGTTTCTTCTTGTTGGAAGCAACTAGCCAGTGCTTAGAGAAGAAATTTTGTGCTGGTGAAGATGGAAACCTTTCTGCTGAAGCAAACAACATGCTTGAGGAATTGAAGCAACTTTCATCTGCATTAGGTATGAGGTAAGTTCACTTCTGTAGCTTATATCATTGTGAGAACCTTGCCTTTCTATTTCACTTGGTGTATACCAACGTTAGACTGACCTTAACTTGGTAAAATTGTGCATAGTTTGCAAATGATTGCGTGTATCTAGAGTTTGCAGTGCACCCACAAGTTTAAAAGGGCTCTTGATGAGGAGCATGGTTACAACTTGAAATTCTCTGTTCACATACAAATTGAAATACTGTTTTTTTTAGCAGATTTTCTGCTGGCTTGTTAAGCTGATTTTTAGCGGGTAGTTGTCAAGTTTAAATTCATATGTTTGTTATTTCTTTAGGAAGCTGGTTTCAGCTGGTAGTTCTGTTATGTATTTGAATTTCCTTGTTTTTCTCAACCTCCTATTCTATAAAGGAGGACTTGATCAATAACATAAAGGGCAGAATGTCGAATCCAAAATTTTCTGGCTTGAAGTGTGCCACTTCCTGTCTGGCGTGACACCAGAATATTGAGAGCTGCGTGAGTGAGACTCTCACCAGACCCTCTTTCTATCTTTTCCCCTATATGTACAGCATCAGCTCTTGATTGAGACGGTTCTCTATTAGTGAAAAAACCACATCTATGAACCAAACGTCCAACTAATACATTCTGTTTCAGCTTCCAAATTATATGCTGAATCTTGTTGGGTCTTGGACTGTTTTTTCAGTGACCCGGAACATGAGAAAAACCTTTCAAGCATCGGAGAACTTTCGAGGAGGTTGCAGTCAAGGTTGTCTTGGCTAGAGACTTCTTTCTTGAACCCTTTAGTCTCTCATAAAGATACAAATGTGAGCACTGTCTCAGATCCTCAATACGATGTGGAAGCTGACATTAGCAAGTCTGAGGAAATCGGCAAATCTGATGAAGGCAACATGAAGGATTTGAGGGCTATTGCTGCTTCTGAAGGCCAAAGCAATGCTAGCAATGATGCTGCTGAAAGCAGCAAGGGCAAAAGAAATAAAAAGTCTAAGAAGGGAAAAAGGGGGAAAGGAGGTCGGAAGAACTAACCATGCCATAGATCCCAATTTTTTTTAATACATCTTGCAGTCTATTTGGGTTTTGTGTATAATATCTTTGGTGATGGTGATAGACTGATAGTTTGATTAGTTGAGTAAAGGTGGGTTAAATCAAAAGAATAATATGTATGTAGGTGGGTTAATGAGGATTGCACTTTCTTCTGGCTGTTGTTGGAAGGTAATAGAATTAAGTGTTTTGGTTATTGTACATATGTTGATATTAACAGAGACTTTGATTGGAATCACATATCCAACATAAATATTTCTTACACAACATTAAGGTGAAATGGCGTGTCTTTAAGTCATTTGACTTGATGACTTAATTAGATGACTATACCTGTTACTTGATTAGCAATGAATACCAGATGTTAAAGCGGTTTTTGTCGATCAAGTCAAATTATGTCCACGTAGCAACCAAATTACAAATTAGTTTAAAAGAATGATTGAGCACCCAAATTTGCATTTGATATTGTATTTGTGATTTATTTCTCTAAGATGAATTTTTCATTGATGAATCCTTGGGATGACAAGGCTATAAAATCTATAATATAAAAAAGAGTACGCTTTAATAAGTTTATCCGAAGGTTTCAAATATATTCATTTAACGATCACTAACATCATTATCAAAATTATTCATATAAATTTTTTTCCTCCCATTCAAAGTCATCATTTTTCATTTATGTTGTATCGTATTTTTAGGTGCGAGTCACCTTTAGTTTTGTTATAAAGAAGAGCTTTGTAGAAGAGGTCATACCTAAGAGCAACTCTAAGGAGCTCGATAAAGAGGGATTCTTAGTTATTTTAGATAGTCACTCCATAAAATTTGACTCTAACAGGCTATGTATTCAATTAGCTATTTTGCATTACCCTCTCTTCACTCATTGTTTCTGGCGAGCCACAAAGCTTGGTATTTCCTCAAAAAGTTCGTTTTTACGCCCAATCTCTTCACTCCACAGTACCCCCAACTCCNCTTAGTTATTTTAGATAGTCACTCCATAAAATTTGACTCTAACAGGCTATGTATTCCATTAGCTATTTTGCATTACCCTCTCTTCACTCGTTGTTTCTGGCGAGCCACAAAGCTTGGTATTTCCTCAAAAAGTTCGTTTTTGCGCCCAATCTCTTCACTCCACAGTACCCCCAACTCCTCTCTCTCTCTCTCTCTCTCTCTCACTCACAGAAGCTCCACAACACCCTGAATTTCGTCTTTATCATTGCACAGAAGCTTCATCGTCCACCCAGATATGAAGTTCTTTCTCTCTTACATAAACTTTGTGTATTTATATCACAAAAAAACCCACGAAAAAATCCACTAAAAACCTAGTTAAAACCCACTAAAATCCCACCAAAAAAACCCTAAAATCTCACTTAAAAATCTAATAAAAAACCCACCGAAAAACTCATGAAATGTTAGAGTTTAACCCAAACTCTTCAAGTGTTTTGTTCCTTATTTATTTAGTATTAATTTACAATTAGTGTTTTAATGGGTTTATGAGTTTTGACCCTAAAGTATTTCAGTTAGTTTTGAGTAGTTTAATTAAAGTCAATTTAAGATTACTTTAGTAATTCAAGTTTTTAAGTCTTCTTTAGATTGCAACCAAAATTTTTATGACAGAAGCTTTTATGTTAAAAAAATCTTTCTTTATAATGTAATGGCAGAACCAGTGTTAGGAAGATTGGTTTTGAAGCATTGACGTGAAGCTTGCTTTTCTTTGATTAAATTTTTTAAGTGTGTAAAATATTTGAGTGTTTCATATTATTTTGATATCCTACGTCCAGACAGAGACGCATAGTTGAAACAGGTCAATACGCAGGTTATTGAAAAATAGAAAGGATTGTGACTACTCAAAAAAGTAGGTATGCACATAGTGCTTGGAAAATTGGTGAATCAAAATCAATGGTGCTAAACTCGATCTTGGGCATGACCAAATTTAATTGTTATGAAGGAGAATTTGTTGAGTAATTAACATAAGAATCTTATATGGAATAGGATTATATTGTAAGTGTTTTAATGTACCAAGTATGTTAGATATGTGATAGGAAACATAGTGATCAAGTTGTATCTGAATAGGTATGAGTTACAGTATTTTATCCTTATAAATAAGATTGAGTATTATGTAATCAGTTGCCAGATGACTAGTGAATAATACATCGATGTAGGTTTTTGGTTCATGGATATAGGTACAATGTGTCAAGGTAGGGTATGTTGTATCGAACCACGTTATATCTTTATGTCACATCTTTATTGTTTTTCCTATCTTTGAATTCCAATATTCCAACAAGTATTATTTGTATTAATTATCCACTGTGCAAAACCAACAAGTAGTATCAAAACTTGATTGATGATCTTTGTAAAATAATCAGATGATCCTGATAGAGCAGACTCTTTTGCCACATATGTACAATTCAAATTTTTATTTAGATTCACAAGAAAAATTTTAAAGTTAATATGAAATCAAACAAAAGACTAAGTTGCTTCTTGATTATTTGAGTTTTCAAGAATTATCACACGTGCTGTGTTGAAGATATTTCTTCATGTTTTTTGGCTCTTAGAGTTGAAGTTATAGTAATTCAATGGTTTGGGAGCTATTGGGCTGACATAAACTCAATAGTAATGATGTAGTATATCGTGCATTATGAGTCACTGGGCCATTGAGACCTCCAAAGAACAGGTAAGACGTAGGTAGAGATGCATAGTTAAAGCAGGCCAAGACCCAAGTTCTTGAAAAATAGAGAGGATTGTGACGATTCAGAAAAGTAGGCAGTGCTTGGAAAATTAGTGGATCAAAATCAATGGTGCTAAGCTCGATCTTAGGCATGACCAAATTTAATTCTTATGAAGGAGAGTTTATTGGGTAATCAATGTGAGAATCCTATATAGAATAGGATTATATTGTAAGAGTTTTAATATATTAAGTATGTTAGACATGTGATAGGAAACATAGTAATCAAGTTGTATCTGAATAGGTTTAGGTTATAGTATTTTATCCTTATAAATATGATTTAGTATTATGTAATTAGTTACCAAATTACCAGTGAATAATATATCGATGTAGGTTTTTGATCCGTGGATGTAGGTACAGTATACCAAGGTAGGTATGTTGTATCGAACCACATTATATATTTGTGTCATATTTTTATTATTTTTCTTATCTTTGAATTCCTATCTTTTAACAAATATTATTTGTGTTAATTATCTACTATACAAAACTAACATGAAATCCCACTAAAAAACCCACTGAAAAACCTACAAAAACCCCATCAAAAATTCACTGAAATCCCACAAAAAACCCCNTGGCAGAACCAGTGTTAGGAAGATTGGTTTTGAAGCATTGACGTGAAGCTTGCTTTGACGTTGCGTTCTTTTGCTTCGTCTTTCTTTAATTTTTTTCTTTGATTAAATTTTTTAAGTGTGTGAGATATTTGCGTGTTTCATATTATTTTGATATTCTACGTCCAGACAGAGACGCATAGTTGAACAGGTCAAGACGCAGGTTATTGAAAAATAGAAATGATTGTGACTACTCAAAAAAGTAGGTATGCACATAGTGCTTGGAAAATTGGTGAATCAAAATCAATGGTGTTAAACTCGATCTTGGGCATGACCAAATTTAATTGTTATGAAGGAGAATTTGTTGAGTAATTAACATAAGAATCTTATATGGAATAGGATTATATTGTAAGTGTTTTAATGTACCAAGTATGTTAGATATGTGATAGGAAACATAGTGATCAAGTTGTATCTGAATAGGTATGAGTTACAGTATTTTATCCTTATAAATAAGATTGAGTATTATGTAATCAGTTGCCAGATGACTAGTGAATAATACATCGATGTAGGTTTTTGGTTCATGGATATAGGTACAATGTGTCAAGGTAGGGTATGTTGTATCGAACCACGTTATATCTTTATGTCACATCTTTATTGTTTTTCCTATCTTTGAATTCCAATATTCCAACAAGTATTATTTGTATTAATTATCCACTGTGCAAAACCAACAAGTAGTATCAAAACTTGATTGATGATCTTTGTAAAATAATCAGNATTGAATTGATCTTCCTAATTTTCTGTTTTGATCTTCAGTCTTAGAAGCTTACGATGATCTTCAATTATAATTCTCCATAGATATCCACTATTTATGCATATCTATTTGTTGTTTTGGGAAAAGAAGACAAGCCACTAATCCGAGCATCATCTTTTTATTGGACAAGATATGGATCATAAGCTTCCATCATGGATAGAATACGAAGAAAAATGGCTCGATTTATTTGAAACCTCCTCCGAAATAAAATTGGGGGATATATAGGCGATTCAGCAAAATAGTTGCTATAAAGTCTCTCGTGCCCTTGAACTCAATTGCGAAAAGTAATTGAATGACCTTCAATGGAACCACGACGTACTCCAGAGCTTTTCTTGCTACTGAGTAAATCATTAAGAATCATCTTGATTGCAGGATACGAGCCATACCATAAAAACAAATAAGAGTGCAATGTCATAAATAGATTTGAGATGTATGCCAAGGAGAGGGGGAAGATCACTTTTTATACATATCAAAAAATATGACCGTTGAAAAATTTAAAATTTAAAATTTAAAATTGTGATGATGTCATCGTTGTAAATATGATTATTATCAATATGATCGTTGAAAAATTTTAAATTTTAAATTTTGATGACGTGGCATAACTCATTATCATGTAATGTTATCAATATGACAATGACATGGCATGTACGTAGTATTTTAGATTTTAATTATTAATATTTAGTTAAAGTTAATAGAAATAGTTAGTTAAAATAAAGAACGTTGTTAGAGTGAATTAATAGGAGTTACTCTTTAAAATAGATAGTGTAATAAAAAATGTTATTTTCACTAATTATTTTAACTAGGATTCTTCGAGTTACGGCCACTGGGCGAGGGTGATGAAAAGAATTGGGAGGAGAAAGCAGAATGCTGGAGAAAAGATTTAGGGAAATGTAATGATGTAAAATGGCAATAACTACATGCTGAGCCCATAAATTTGAGACCCAAGGCATTTTACGTTTTTGAAGTATAAGGAAATGCATGTTATTGTACACGTGCTTTTCAGAATGTTCAGACTCATGTGACTATTGTATTGTTAAGGAAATTAAAGAGGTACATAGGATTGAAGTTTCAGATTATATTTGGATGTCCAGAATTTCTCCATTTTTTGTATATAACACGTGATGTATACCCGCAACGTGTTAGTTAGACGGATGAGGACCAATAAGACTGAATTTGTAATCATAAAACTTAGTAGACATGGCTAATTTGTAGTTAC